ACTTCATTATAAAGTCATTCTATTTAAAGAGAATTTATTCAAATTGGTATTCCAGTCATATACCCGTATTATTGCCAATGTTCCTGTTTAAACTACTTATATTGTTATATAATTCTACTATGCTTGTCTTCTGAGGTTGATTCATTACTCTTTTCTAAAACCAATAGTTCTTAATTAATATTTCATTACCCTAAACCCTAAACCCAGTTTCCTCTTTTTCTTCGCCTGTCTCTTGCCATGTCCGTTGTTATGAGCACCCGCTATTACAGGTTAGTATTGTTCTGGCAACACTATCAATTCATTCAATCCCTGCAAAGTACTAGTCTACACCTGCTATATTCGCTCGGAAATGAGGCAAACCTCAAGGCCTCAAGAGGGATTCGCTATCAATCTCACACTTTCAAATATAATCTCGGAGAAAGGTCATGACCCTTGGTGTCATAATGGAGAATGCTAGTAATTCCACATAATTCAGTGATGATTCAGCCACATCTTTTCATCAATAGATCGTACCCCCTACCACCGCACAACGAAACATAGTGTGCCCCCGTTCCGGTTTTCCGTGCTTCTTTTCATTCCTTCCCTCCTTCCTTCCTACCTTTCCGCTTATCCACTCACCCATTATAACGATGAAGTATTTGTCCAGAAATTGCTCAAGTATAGTGAGAAAGATGTATGTAAGCAGATAAGCAAGCACCGTAAGCAAGCAAGTGGTGAAAAAAAAATATGAAAAAGTCATTTTACTACACCCCCGCTCTTCTCGGTGAGAATCTTCCCTTCGTTCCTTCCTTCCTTCCTTCCTTTCTTCACTTCTTTGGTAGGTGGTGCTGGGGGGGGCGGGGGGATGATGGGGAGCTCCGAGAAGGAATAGAGTGAAAGAACAAGAAAGCAAGATCCCGATTGCAACGATCCTCGATGAGACATTGTCCATCGCTACCGCCACAATCATCTCGCGAACATCCTTACCCTTACACAATGCGTTGTGTGTGATACCGTAATTGTAAGCTATGTTGCCTTTTCTCATCTTCCGACCCCCTCCCCCGCCCCACTATCATCTACCATCGCTGTTTACGAGAGACTGACCAAACGCTCTATCAGATTATCAGCGAGAATCAGTCCGTTTGTCCACGATTGGTTTAGTCTACAGTAGTTTGATGGGCGAGATGCAAACATCTACTCGTGCTCCAGCACTGTACGAGTACTGTGGTGGGCTGATCTTGTAACGCTAATCCTTCTTAGGGGTGGTGGGGGGGGTCGTCTCTGAGCCATGATACTCGTAGGGGAGTACCGTACCGGTACTGGGCAGCCGGGGGGGGCTCGGTGGTGAGCTTCGAGCCTTTTTGCGGTGTGGTACGAGTACTATCTGTGCCGCCGGTGTACTGTACTGCTAACGCTTGCCTGGTGGGTGTTCATTCCTCTACCGGTAGACTTTAGAAGGGGCGGGGAAGAGCGGGTCGCCTGCAATACAAGACAGTGGTTACGAGAAAGAAAACCAAGGTTTCTTCCTTGGTTTGGATTCCCAGAGCGTGCATATCCAAACTGCCGGAATTAACAGTACCGGTATTATTGCACTATAAAGTTAGCAAGCACGAGTCCAGGTGCACTAGGAGGGGGAAAGAAAAGGAAAATTCCTTTCGGGAGCTCCTCTCCACACCGCTTGACTCGCATGCCACGCGGATGAACAGGAAAAGGGTGTGCGTGTGTGTGTGATGCGAGGGTAATTTAATTTCAAATTTCGAGCTGAGCACTTGTAGAGTGCCGTATGGGGAAGGGAAAGAAGAGCACCTATTGATAGATCCGATTGCCAGTAGGATAGATTGATCAACGACGGGATCAACCGGTTTCGGCGGCAAGATTTTTAAAGCCCACATGGCGGGTCCGCGGGTGGCTTTTGTGAGGTGAAAATTTCTCTCGTTACCCAGATCTGATCGAAACATCATTGGGAGGGACGTTTGTTCCGTTTCGTTCATCCCTCATCAACGCCCCGGCCCGGCCCAGCCACCTCCCATGTGCGGGTGTGCGGGGAGAGTGAGAGCGGGTGGTGGGTGGGATGTGGGACGAACCAGCGTTGTACGAGTACAAGTACGATACAGCGCAGCGCTCGTGCAGTCGGGGCCAGGCAGCGAGTACCCGGCCAAAGCAGAGGGCGAGTTTCGCCGCTGCGTTGCAGATCATACTGTACAGTATAGTACATCACGGTACTGCACACGAATAATTGCCCTGCTGTCCGGTGATTACCTTGCCGCGACTACACAGCACAGCAGGTACAGTACACCGCAGTACCAGTGCTAGTACCGGCACTGCACTCGGACACCACAGCAGTGCGCTATAGATGGGACTTCCGGCGGAAGAGGGCAGAAACGCCTTACGCGTGGGGTGGCCCCTGCTCTAGCGACATCGAAAGCGGAAAGTGGTAGCGTGCGTGTCGTTGAAAACTCTTCCTCCCGCCGTGTATCATACAGAGATGGACATGAATTCCGGGGGAAAAGCTTCTCGAAATTTCCGATATCGTGGTGCTCCGACTGCCGACATACCGCTATGGGGGGGAAGATACTTCTTCCAGTTATGGGATTTGGCCCAGAGGGTCAAGTACCCGAGTACTGCACAGCTTATAAAGTTTCGCTGTGGCTCAATTGTAAACTTTTTCCTAGCTACAATTTCAATCACCAGCGGACCACAATCCCCTAGGGGGTGGCCCAACCGATGGCTCTAACCACCGTGCTTTTGCGGAGCGTTGTGTTCTTAATAATTTCTTCTGCATGTCAACTTACTCGCATTTTTTTTTCTTTTCTACCCAATTCGGTTGACCGAGATCCTCGGTTTTGGGAAATCCGTCGCTTAGGCAATTTAAATAAGGTTATGCCGCCGTAACCGCTCTTCTTTTTTCTTTTGCTTCCACACACGATCTGAGCCCCAAATCCAGTCCAGTCCAGTCCAGCGGTGGGGGGAAAATGGGCATCCAAGTTCCAGCTGCGGTGGCCCTGCTCACTGTCTCACCTGAATGCAAGTGAGACAACCTCACGATCGCAGTTTTCCGTATTTTTGGTGGATCATCTGTTGAAACGGCCAGCACCTATTTTGTATGGCACCACGAAGAACTGCAAGGGATCGAGCTATCCATCAATCGGCACCAACCTCTCACCTCTTCCCCCCATTCCTCCCCCTTCCCTCTTGCGCGCGAGCCGAGCACCTCTGAGGCTTTTTACCGTGCTCTATTCATTCCTCAAAGGGAGTTTTTAGGAATCATCCTGTTTACTCGGCATCGCGGTAAAAACTTTTTCCTCTGGCTCTCGGGATATTTTGGTTCCTCTAGAGTGTGGTTTCTTCTTCTGCCATCTCGGTGGGTGCACTTCAGCATTGCCGAGCGTCCAGGCGGCGACGGCGGGGCGGGGGCGGAGGCTCCTTCCGTGCCTTAACTTACTCTGTCCACCGTGCGGTACCCGTGCCTGGCTTGTTCGAGAAGTTACGTGCCACAACTGCGCTGGGTACAGTACGGTAGGCGAGCGGTTCATGGGGCCCCCCGCATTCTCGAGGACAGCAGGCCATGCACTCCAGGCTCAGGGGATGGATAAAAGCTGGTTCCAGAAAATCAACAGTGCTGGGGAGAGGGGATGCAGGAAGGCAAAAAGAAACGAAAAGAAAAAAATAAAGAAAAAGAGGTCACCCCAGCACAGAATGGCGACCGTAGTGCAAACTGGTACTGCGCAGTCTAGCGCGGTTTAGCAACACCTGTTTTTTCATTAGTCCAATCCAACGATCGTGCTCCTCAATCTGCGGAGATCATGTCGGAAATACCTGTATGCCAACTTCCCCTTCCCTTACTCGAGTTGTAGCTTTACATTTGGGGAACCCTTGGCAGTATCCTCACCACTGGCTTCCTCTTCACCTATTTCTTTTTTTTTCTTCTTCTTACGTACCGGTATCGAATATGGAACGTGACTATCGGGCAGTGGGCAATTGATCCGATCGAGATTCTGTGCTCCCTGGCTCCTTTTTTGGGCGAGCGTGGAGCAAGTTAGTAAAACTGTTTGCTAAGGCGAAGGGGATCAGAATTTGAGCGGAGAATTTGATGCAGTATTTTTCCCCCGAAAATCTCATTACTGGCATTGCGTTTTCGGAGTCGTCTCTGACGGCTGCGATGGCTACACGGTGGAAGAGATTCCCGCGATCAAGGGGTGCGCATTACCGTACTGTGCTGGATTACCGTGGTAGGATACACCGGGGAGAGGGGGAGGGTGGCTACAGTGCTATCAAGTAACCTGTGACATCTGTTGGAGTACAAGCACCGTGCGTAAAGTTAAAAATCCTGCTGCGATGCTACTTGTACAGGTATCATACTAGGGCACCGGACTGTACATTAACTGACTTGTGCTGGTTGGGGGCCAAGTTATCTCTTCTCTTGTTAGCACTTGTAACGAGACCAAAAATGTACAAGTATCATACTCGAGTACCGGTACATTAAAATGTGGTTTCCAGTTCGGGCGGGGATCACTGGGTACCGGGTCCACTGCCCGGCCTTAACATAAGATGAGGTAGTATGCAGGTCACCTCAGAATCCGTCCCCACCGGTAGCTCTGGGGTGCATAAGATCCGGGGGGCATAAAGTGGGATCCGGGCAAGGAGAGCTCTACAGTAAGCAAGAAGCCGACAGAGGGAGGAGATACGGTTTGGCTTGCATGTGTGCAAGTACTGTACATCTCGTCTGGGAGTAGTTCGCTTGGAGCGCCGTACCTCCGCGCTCGGCGGAGGACTTTTCCCCCACTACAAACCATGCATGAGTGGCCATTCCCCCCGAGACAATGAAGGGGGCATGAAGTTGGGGGTAACTACAGTATCCCCGTCAGGACTCCGGTAGTTGTGAGAGCGGAGGAGGAAGGAAAGGGTGGGGGAGGGAGTAGGGGTGGTGGTGGGTGCGGGCCCCGAATTCAAAAGAGCCAACTGCTAAGTACCAACCGAGACTATAAACTCACTTCTTCGCACTCCCTTTCCTCATCGAAATTGAACTCCAACCAATTCATTCGACCTCAACCTCGACCCCAGCTTAGAAACGGAGGCCATCTGGATCAACGGTCGGACTCTGAAAAGTCTCTTTAGTACACAATCCGCTCCCCCTCAGATAAGAATGACTTCAGTCCAAGGCATTTACCCACAGGCCTACATATTCCCAAGGGAGTTCGAAGTCATCATGGATTCATCCCCCCCTTCGCCGGAGGATCCCGAACTGGTGCCCATTTTGGACAGGGAAGACAATAGCGATCTATCTCGCCCAGACTCATCCATCAGCAGCTATAGCTCTCGGTCCTCTACGGATAGCCTATGCCTTCCCGACGCTTCCTTCTCATACTACCAAACATCCCAGAAATATCAGCTTCCCCCACCGCCACCTCCGACTCCATTCTTGACATCTCCACTAGTATCTCCACTCAAGCAGGGGCTCGAGGATAGAGACCTGTATTCCTCACCATTCGTGCTTAGCGCGAACTTGCTAGAGCTCGGAGAAACGCTGGGAGATTTGTTTGTAGAGTCGGATCGCGAATACCGAGGCATGGGGGAAAGGGTATACATCCCCTACCGGCACGAGCAAAAGGTTTGCTGGAGTTACTCGATCACGTTCAAACGAGCTATTTAACTAACACATCGATATAGCATCTTTCCGGGTCATGGTCCCTGCCCTGCTCCTTCAACGACCCAACAAACTATTCCGAGCCAAATGTCGAGGCATACGATAACGAAGACTACTGCTTTCCCGTGCGATCGAGCTTTGACGAAGGACTATTCGTCCCTAAAACAGCGCCATACGTCCGCCCCACAAACCATACAACCCCCCCTACACCCCCTCCTTCGAGATGCTCGGGAGACTCGGAGGAGAGGCTCTGGTCACTATCCGAAATCGAGAGGCAGCTACAAATGCTGACCGACGAGCGAGCTCGAGCGGAGGAGTCGCAAGGACAGGACGAATTAGGGGAACTGGAAAGGCACAGCCGGAGGCCGCACAGAGGGGGTGCTATGAAGAAGTTCACGAGGGTTTGGAGGGGTTACCTGCACCGGTCGTGAATTATTCCATGTGGCCGTCCCTATTGCGAGTTTCTCATTTCTCTCCTCTTTTTTTTCCCCGCTCATCCTTCTCTATCTATCCCAGGATTCGGGGCTGGGCTCCGATGTGTCAGCTACTTAATATCCTTTTCTCCCACCACTCTTGTACAAAATTTACGGCTTTGCGGTCTGTTTTTACCTCTGCATTCTCGAGGAATCTTCATTCCATGTAACCATTCACTTCTTAACTTCTATTCGGGGGGGGGTTTTTTTTTCTTTTTTTTTTCTTTTCTTCTCTTTCTTTCCGGTCCTACAGGAAAAAAAGGTTTGGGGTTGATCATTGGGAATTTTTCGGGCCATTGTTTTCATCAGCCATACTCCAGGGCCAGGGGGCATCCCTAGAGGAGTCGTTGGTACTTTTTTTTATCTTTCCAGGGATTGGAGCTTTTCTGTCAACAACTTTTTGTCTGTATTTCTCAGTGCACACGGGTTTCCTTTGCAGAGTCAATAAATAAAAGAAGTGTTTGTGTCTATCATAATATTATTCATGCCCAATTCACATTCCATCATGTCTGCCCTGCTACGTCTCTTTGGTAGGGTTCAGTCTAGTTTGTTTCCCCCTCTTCAGCTGCAAAAATTATGATGTGCTGTGGAGGAGAGGAGAGAAAGAGAGGGGTGATTTGGCGATTCCTAATCCGGCCCTTTTTTTTTTCCAATCACACGAACACTCCAACCATTTCCTGCTAAATTCCGCGCTGAATGCCTAACCCCGCATCTTTCACCTATTACCACCGGCGAGCGAGGGGAAGAGTGGTGGAATCCTGGAGGTGATGATGAATGTGAGGGAGGGGGTGGAGATCCCCAAGTCAAGCCCTTCACTTGTTTGGCGGGTTTTTTTCTTCCACAAAATCACGTTTAGAGAGTCTAACCAATTAAGGTAACTTGCAGTGAGCATGTTTGGGTTCTCTTTTTTCTTCTTTTTCTTCTTTATTTATCTCACTCGAGAGGTCGCCAACCGGGAAAAGGATTGGGAAAAACAATTGAAAACTGTGGTGGCCCATACTAGCTAAAAGGGAAGCAGGAAGGAGGAGGTTAACAAACAGTAACATCCCACTTATAAGTGTGGCGATGTCTCACCGACATTTCTGTATGATATCCCATCCCGCAAGCATCCCTTCGCTTTTCATTCCCGTGGTCAATTCCACAAAGTTTGCACCGCACTGAACCCCCCTCTCTGCACGCGTGAGTGAACTGTGAGGACAGGACAAAGACTCACGGGCCCCTTCATGCGCTTAGATGCGGTGGTCCGGGAGGATCATCGTCATTCGCATCTCGTTACTGGACCCGATCAACAGCTCCCTCCGCACCCGTCCCTTACTGCGCCATGTTAAAATCTCCGGCAACTCCACACTCCTGCTTCTCCCTCGTTTTCCCCCTTGCATACGCACCAAAAAGAGGTAAATCGGACCTCCCTCCTTACATCTATTCTTACATATGATGCTCCCCGCGTCCGAAGCATTCGACTCGGTGATCGTCCAGAGCAAACAAAGGCCCCTTCCCGCCAAATATCATTTCCGACCGCTTGGGCGTGGATCAGCTGGCCATTCACTCACATATATGCGGCCACCCACTACGTTCCGGCCAGGTGTAGGGACAGCAGGGGACTAGCTTTTACTATAAACTCGATCGATTGTTTGATATGACGAAAGAAACTAAAGCGCATATAATAGCTCCATTACTTGTTTGCGATGTGCTCCATCCCTTGTGCGAAGGGGGCTGTCACATAGTTAGTAAGGGGGAGGGAGTGATGGGAGGGGGGAGTTTGTACGAATAAGACTGCCACAATATCCGGTAATATGTTTGTACTCCCTTCTCACCAATGAGGGAGGGGATTTGAACGGTTTCTTACCCACCGATACCTCCTCGAGATCGTTCGCGCAAAGAAAGCACCCTTAATCCGCCCTAGGATCACCGACTCAGTCCCCGTGGTCCACGCCATCCACATCTACATACTCCCATCCATCCTACCCCGTCCCTCCATCTCCTTCTCACCCCTCCTCACCCTGCCCCTGCCATCACCTTCGAGAGCGGGAAAAAGAGGGAGGACAAAAAAAAAGTATCACTCGCAGAAAGATACCTTCCCACCCTGAGAATCCCTTCTGCTGCGCCCCAAGATCAAAATCGAGCTTTGGCTACATCGCTAAATATGTGCCACCACACACTCTCGATCTACCCATGCGGCGACTCCTACATCATCCGCTCATCCCTCTGCGGTAGCGGCCCTCGATGCAATGTTTTCGAGGTGGTCTCGGCGCAGAGGCTTATGGTTGATTGTTTCCCTTGCCAGCGCTCTCCAAAGAGGCGGAAGCTGCCTGCTAGAGCTCGGGGGATTTATGCGCCAAGTTAAGGGGGAGAGGAAGGCGGATTTTAGTGAGTGGGGGTTTGGCTAAGGAGTCGGGTTGTATCGTTGTATGGGCTTCGGGTTTTGGTTCGTGGTCCGTGTGAAATGTGGGATGGATGTTGGAGGAGGTGGGTGATGATGATGTACATATCATACCTAAGTTCGCTGTAATGATTTTTTTTGTTTTCTTGAAGGGCTTCTTTTCCCCGTGAATACTAGTCCTCCGGGAGGGCGAGAAATGTCAAGCTCTAGTTGATTTGGACTAACTTCATTACTTCTCACTCTTCAGTAACACCAGTAAGGTCATCAAGCTAGTAGGGACTTTGCAAAAAGACTCTGGATGTGGGTCAAACAGGGTTCTGGGCCAATGAGATGGCTAGAATTTGACTCTAGATGCGAAATCGCAAAGTCTCTAATAAGTTAGTAGTACTGGGACGAAGGGAGCGATGGTCTGATACCTTGCTTGAAGATTTACAAGAGTTTCACCAAGCGAGCACACATCAGCCAGTACAAACCCCTCAGGGAGAGAGAAGAAAAAAAAACCCAACCCCTTTTCCCATCCCCCCCTTCAGACTCAGCAACAAAACTCGCATCAAAGCAAGCACAAACAATCACTCGAAATACTGAAATCCAACAAGGGTGTGATGATGAACAACCAACCTATTCGGATGCACTCAACAACCCCCCCAATCCGCCAACCACTCACTGATTCCTACAATCTTCAATTCCTATAAAGCACAGACACATGCGCAGGTTGTGGAGCATAGGATTGCCGGGAGGTGTCTGAACGGAGCACCCAATCATCGCCAGATACTGCTCCCGCCAGTTAACGCCTGCCAGGGAGCATAAGTATATATTACTCGTTATATATAGTACAACGTTCTGCCGCCAGCATACTCACAGAGGATCACTCGAGCAGCACGCTCGCTGGGCCGCCACCACTGGAGGGGGTACGGTGCCAGCGTTCCCAAGTGCGAAAAAAAAAAGGTGACGTTTTTAACTTGTTACTAGATTGTACCGGTGGAGGTTCAGGAGAAAAATGTTGATGGGGGGGGGTGTACTCTGCGTCCAGTACTAGTACTCAGGGTAGAGGCTAGAATTCTTCACTTGAATGTCTGAGATGTCCGGGAGTGAGGGAGGGTGCTGCGGCGGGAGAACGGGTGGCACTGGGGGTTGGATGGTTGGCCCTCTCGTGCAGTCGGGATCTCACTGGACCGCTCTCGCCGAGAGGGGGAGGGGGTGGTAGGTGGCCTGGTGGGTGTGGTGGGGACGGTACTGCACGAGCCCCACGTACATATCATCGCCGTCGGCACGGATTTTATAGAGTACCTGTCTGTTCACTTTATTGGTGGTCTGTGTATAGGATCGGTAGGCAAAATACCAAGGGGCCGCGAGAATCAGGCTAGGCTTTCATGCCGTCCTTCTCCCCTACACTCCTTCGGCTGTAGGAAGATATGGGATTGCGGTGCAGTGTAAATAGATAGATAAAAGGTTCGAGTGATGCGCTCCTGCTGTTTGCGTATACCGCTCAGGATGAAATTCCACGTTGTGAGGTGGCGCTAAAGGGATGATGAACATCGGTCACATTAACGGGGCCATGGGATTATCAACGATGGGGAGAAAATATTCGCGAGGCCGGTGCTTTCATGCTATGTCCTTCTTCTTCAGGCTTAATTGTGGCATCATACTAACATCCTCGGACGGGAGGGGTTGGGGGCGTATACTTTAAGTTTAATCGCCGTTCATCCTCACCATTCATCCCTTATCCCCCCATGGACGTTATTTTTTTCTGGAGAAATCAAGAGTGCCGTGAGGACAGAATAATACAGATTGTGTGTATGTTCGGCCCTGCTGGGGCGTTATACTTGACTATTAGGCCGTGATTGTGCTAGTAAAGCGAACATTAGGCCCAAACATATAGAAAGTATTTGGTCATAACTTTTGAACTAGCTACTAATAGGTGGTGTCTTTGAAGAACCTTGGTAGATTTTGCCCGAGTGAGGTCTTGTGAATCAGAGGTAGGTTGGGCTGTTGACCAGCGCTGGTCTGGAGCGTCCCGTGGAGAGATGTGAAATCAGATGTGATTGTCCCACTACACCTACAGATTTCGGGTGGGCAAGAGAAAATATAGGCCGCAGAAGAAGGAAGACTTTGAGAGTGGGAAGGGAGTTGTTGTTGGATGTGTGTGGACGATGGGATGATTGTGTTTCCTAGCTACAGGCAAGACGGTAGATAAAGGAAATACATGACTGTCGAGCCTCCTCTCCTGCTCCTGGATCACCCAAAACCCTAAACACCTATACATGAGGGTAGCCACCTGTACAACATGCGAACAGTTGTATGATAGCGTCTGGAATGCCCGGCTATGACGCAATATTTGTGGCAGTACTAGGGGTGGAGATTTCATAAGGATGGTACCCAGCCATGACAATTGAAGCCCCGGAAGCACGAAATATATAACGGCACAGTCCACAATTGAACGAATGCCCATACTACAAGAAGGTATCCGTTCTCAATGAACGTAACTCCCCGCCCCCGAGATACAGGAGCCAGCTAAGGTGCTACTAGGGGCTGAAAATTCAGTTTGCAGGAAACCCCCGGAAAACCCTCTCGGATGGTAGCGGGAGTCCACCATGTCCCGCCCAACTAGAGCGCCACCCTTCATGCACACAGCATGGCAAACAGCTCATTACCCAACCCACCTGGCTGGTTCAATCCTGGGTGGGGAGCCAACATCCTGAGGACTAGCGCTGCTACTTGGCGGATTAAATACCTGTACTTTTCCCCAGACCCGTACCAACGCCCCGACGACTGCTACATCACATCTTGCTAGAAGGGTTCTCGTTAAATTTCCATCACCGGCCAATACTGTACGAGATACTAGTTCCCCAATAGTATTTGATTTTTGGGGGGGAACCATCATAAGGACTCCCCCACGCCTTACCTAAAAATAATTTAAGTGTTTTCAGTATATATTTGGATCAGAACCCCCAGACGTAGGTCACTATCAGATATTATAGTAAACGAGGGGGGGATAATGGTTTAAGGTGCCGGGGATTATCACCTCTTTTCAGCAGGCAGGACACATTTGTCACCTGCCTATTGGCCGGTTATGTCGGATGAGCCACTAAAATGCTGATTAGTGTGCTGTTTTCGGATAAGCCACGGGACACGAAACACAAGAGAATTGTGTGCGAGTGAGTGCATCGAGATATATAAGTCTGATTCCCCCTTTTCCCCTTTCAAAAAACTTTCGGATATGAGGATGCTTCTCTTACTTCTCAACACCTCAGCAGCCACGGTAGAACTGAGGAGGGCTGCTAACACCCGTGCACACTCCCTTTTCTTCCTCAGTCCCGGGCCTCGGTGATGGTTAGCTGGCTTTAATCCCCTGCCGCGGTTACCTATACCAGTCTAAGCCCCCCCTCGATTCCCTGGGTCCTATCCGGGCATATATGTGAAGAACCAAGGGGCAAGCTAGGAGCTTTCTCTAATGCTTCGAGTGAGATGCCATGACTAGTGCATCCATGTACTGAGGAACTTATAAAACCACGGAGAGCTCAACCGAAACCCTGAATCGCTGGAAATTATTTGTGAGCTCCTTCCTCTTTTCGCTCTACCACTCCCTGCGCTTAGCCGACCAGGTGACCAAGGGAACTCTCGAATTATAAACTTCCTATAATATAATTCGTCTCAGGGGTATGTCCCTAATCAGAACAGTCCCTTGTTGATAACTGATAACCCGCAGAGCCACAAGCAGAGAGAGGGAGAGAGAGAGAGAGAGGTTTCTACAAACACCTTACCAACAAAAATTAGATTGGAGAAAACTCTTTCGTTTTCCCATACCAAGGCTCAAAAAAATCATTGCTTGTTCGATAACCTAGGTGTTTACCCTTCATGTATCAAAAGGTAGTTTCAAAATAAAAGTGATATACTCCCTCTTTTCCCCCAGCTTAAGTGGATTGACAAAACATTTTCTGGCCCCAGCATCAGGCGTCTCGGGCTTAAGTTTTCCAACGACTTTCTAGCAGCAAAGGATCCACCCAGCAGTGAGACCTGGCTCTTTCCCTTTCTCATCAAATTTCATACTATTTTGCCTCCAGACTACACAACTTACACCTCCACCAAAAATGACTGCAAACCGAATATGCAGCCGAAAGAGGTTTTGGTCAGGGACCCGGAAAAAATATTTGCTTCAATCAGATTTTCTCTTCACCCCTCAACCCTCCAGAAGTACTCCAGCAAACTTCTAGTCCTGGCTGTGAAGGGGAAACCCACCTCCAGGAAACTCTTCCTAGATTATGCTTGGTCATTACTACCCCACAGTTATTAAGGACAATCTAACGGGAGCACTCTCTCTATTCCTTGGCCCTGTCCTCTAAATTATTAGTAGATTTCCGGAGCGAGACAACGGGTTGACCTAAGAGTTACCCGGGTAGATGTCACACATCGGTGACTATTTTTCACCAGTCCGTGATAAGAAACCAGGACACCCTCCCAACAGCAAGCAGAGTGTCTGGCTGTCTGGAGTATTATCAGGGTACCAACCATTCAGTATTATTATTATTATTTTGGTTATCTTTGACTCCAAGAGTATCTCCAGAATTCTGCACTTGCACCTCAGGGCCACAGTTCCCAGGCAGATTCATTATTCAAACGAGGATTGGACTTGCAGGAAGAGCTAAGGTGGTAAGGGGCAGTTGGGCGCCCACTTCCAACTCCAGTATCTTAACAAAACAGGCGATTTCTTAGGAGGGAGGAAGGAAAGAAAAGAGGGAAAGAACCGGGACAAGTTATGATTTCGGATCCCATACATTTGAAATCACTCGCTGATTTTCCTTCCAGGTATGGTACCATACTCCTCACCAAATATTGGGACTAGGGTGAGATTCTCGCTAAAGAATGAAGACCCCGCATGACATAGCCTCCCGTTCATGTATATCCGTGCCCACTAGCCGGTGAACTAGCCGGTAGGCGCTCTCCACCAGGGCGCAAACTCGTTATATCCACCATGCGCGAGATAGCGCGGAGAATGGGCATCAAGCCAAGGCCGCCGGAATAATTATATAACTAGAGGCTAATGATCAATTGGATGAGAAACCTGGGCCAATGAAAAGCAAATACCGTACTCACACGGGGAATCACAGCAGGTGCAGAACCCAGGGGGGGGGGCCGGGGGGGAACCCCCAATTAAAGTAATCGTAATACCCAGTGCAAAGTATCCCAATGATACCACGAACCATAGACCGAGCAGTGGAACGTCATTTGCCAATCCCCCCGCCACAGCCCTAAAGCATCCCTGCATCCCCCGCAAAGTTTACTTTTTAGCTACACTATCTATCTTTCCAATACCGTGCTCGGGTACGGCGCTCCTCCCTCAAGACCATTGGGTTATGTTGCATACGCTAGCAAACTACCAGTTCCTAGATCACCCTTGATGGATCAATATGCCATGCCGAAAATCGTCCCCGAGATCGACGGCGTATATTCCAGCCCACCCCCCCACCCGGCTCCGCCCATCCCCAATTCATCAGCCAAAAGTTTGCGTGGGGACCGGGGATACTTCCGCTGGGGCGATCCCATGCCTAGAACCCGAACGGAGTTTGGTTCGATGCACCCAGGATTCGATATCCCAACTGCCATATACTGACCACGAAAGTTACCTTGGACTCATTAAGTTGGTTGGTGAGTGCGCTGCCGATCGTGCCAAGTTCGGCGCGGCGGTGCACTGCACTTTATAGAACTCGGAAAGCTCCCCACTACTGTAGTCTATGATACCTCGGTACTCCGTCAGGTTGCATACTTTACGAGTACATACGAGGACATCACTCTTCATAAACTTCCCGGAATCTACGGAAGGGAAGGTACCGGTACCCCTGCTAGGCTAGGTGAGGGATAGTCACTGATCGTCTGCTCGAGTAGATGAGTACCGATATCACACCTCCGAACCCTGACCACCGTCAGACTTGAACCTCGGAAACTATAGGAAACTATACGATATCTCGCGTACCCCACAAGTGACCCTACACGGGCGGACCCACGCGAAAGGAACGGAGGGACGGGGTGGGTGTGTAGGCAGAGTAACAGGAGGCCACCCCCCCCCCCCAACTTGGACTACGACCCTGATGTCTTTGAGTATGATATAACATGTTCGAGGGAGGGCCTGAGACGCCTATCTAGCCGCGAACTACCTATCAATATGCACGGAAACCGAACAATCGCAGACCAGGACTTGTACGAGCACCGTACTGTACACACATGGTGGCAAGCCGGAATTTAGGTTCGTGAGAGTGAAGCCGTCATCGCCTCCACCTGGAAAGGGGAGTACTATAACGGTACCAGTATTCAACACCAAAATGTGATGGCCGCGGATGAGTACAGTGCAGTGCAGTGCAGTGCTTATGATCGGGAAATATAACGCAAATCTACGAGGGGATGAACCCGGGAAAAAGAGAGATTCCCACCCTCCTTTTTTCCTTTTTCACCATCCAGGGATTTCCACAGCCTGATGATCCTCCTTTGAAGAGCCCGTTGGCGTATTATGCAGCAACCAATGGAGAACGAACCCTTCCAACCAACTAACCCCCCTACCACCCAGCCGGCCCGCAGGGCCCCTCGTCTCATCACTCAAGTTAGGCGCCATCGCACTGGCCACAGAGCTACTGTAAGTTAATAGGAATCGGCGGACAAAGCACAGCACAGCGCCGGTGCACAGCAGACTGCTCCACACAAGCAATAAGGAACAATCGCAAACTCACCAAGCCACAAACTTGAAGGGCTATTAGACACTATAGCGCCAAAAGAATTCACGAATACATAACTTATACCTGTTTTTGCCGGACAAGACTTCACTCAAACCTGTAAATTCGATACCACACTCGAGCGGAATACATAGGTACTTACGAATAGAGGCTTTTGCCCGCGTCGTAGCCAAGTTATCCTTACCGTATATACCGCAATATAGTACTGTATTGGTACAGCACCTCAATCAGCAACCCAACCGTAATGCCACCCCATCCCTCCTTCCCTTCTTTTGAAGCATCGAGTTCGAAGAATGGACAATGCAGTTCACTCAAAATCTCTATTATCCTCCAAGTCCCCCCATTTTTCCCCAGGACAGGTATGATATGATAACGTATGATACATGCCGGAGCGGGCATGGAGGATTCATGTTCAGGAAAGGCGCCCTCGCACATCTTGTCGACGAGAGTAGCGTGAGGGAACATCGCCCAGGCTTGGTTTACGATGGTTTAGTTCGGCAAGTTGACGAAATTGCGAAAACCGGTCTGTAACGAGATACGACATGGCCAAATGGCTCGTTCTGTACACCGTGTCGGGAAAGCGGTAATCCTTCTTAAGGACTCCGTCCCTAAATCTGGAGAATAGCGAGCCTGGCAGGGATGGCGAATCTCAAGAGTCAATACGGTACTTGATAGGGGCGGAGGGAATTATGAGGTATAGGAGCGAGAATCACCGCCTCTCTCTAATGTGTCAGAGCCCCTCACTCAAGTTTTGATAAGAATGGCGCATACATACGATAAGATATCTCGTCGGGGGGGGAGGAGGCCGTAGTTATAGCAGACCTATCATACTCGGCAACCTATCGAGTAATACTTCGCACTAAAAGGGAGGGGGGGAAGAGGAAAGAAGAAGCCAATGACGCCCGGGAATAATACTCCAAACTCTACAACAGCCAGTCTATTCGTCTACCCATCCATATACGTGTAGTACACATTTTACAATCGAGCCGCAGCAGTGATTCGGACCCATATCAAATGTCCCGCGCGTATCCAATCTAATCGCCCACTGATAGCGTCCCTCCGAAAAGGCTCTGAAAACTTGCGTTGAAATTGCTATCGTACTTTAATAGGTTACGTACTTGCTTGGCTTGTTTACTGCTTAAAGGTTATAAGAATGGAATCGGAAAGGAAAAGAAGAGGGAAAATCGATTGAATGGAATAAGGTGGAAAGAAATGAAGAGAGGAAAAAATGGAAAAACATCCACCACCACCTGGAGGGGACACAAGTCATCGTTCCTATTCATTACCTTTCGTAGTCCACATTTCTACCGGATAACAACCAACTAACGTGAGGGGGAATAGTGAAGGGAGGAATGAAAATATGGGGAAAGGTGGGAGAAGGTGGGAGAAGGCGGGAGAAGGTGGGGGAAGGCGGGAAAGGGAGTCAAGGTCTGTTGGACTAAGGACAAGTAAAGAAAATACGAGCCATTGTGAAAGGAGGGATATAGGTGGTTAACTGAGAGGAATGAAGGAGGTTTCCTTCGTTGAAGAGAAAAGGGGGAACCCCATCCAAAACAACAGCGGTTACTTCAAATCCCGCCAAGTTGCGGCGATCAGAGAAATAAAAGAGTAAAATATAAAAATAAATATATATAAAAAAAAGCAGGAAGAAATAAAAAACACACAACAAAGCAAAATGGAAATGATGGAAACACTAGGAAATAAGGGGGGTCCAGCCATCCTTTATATCCCCCTTTTCTTAAAGGAAACCAAAATATACTCCCTGCTGCTCCGGGCCAAACGATGATAGCAACGCAAAAGTGAAGACCACCCCTTGTTGGATGGAGGAAGCCGAGGAAAAGTGGAAAAGTGAAAAATGGAAAAAACGTGTAAATTTACAGGATTCGTAAAGGGGCGTCGGTCAGTTGGTTAATGGATAAGTGGGAGGCACTCTTCTCTGAGAGGGAGTATGTGTGTGTGTATGCATGCCTGAGCTCACCCCACTCTCCACTACCCCACGTTGTTCCCACTAGAGATGTCTTCATAACTGGCCCTCGGTGTTTGGGAGCCATGACCAGAGTCCCTAAACGAGTGAGCCAACCCACCCATCGAAAATGTCTCACTGCTTCCCTGAGGATGTGATTGGGGTAGGCAATGCATGGGAGACGGAGGGGCCCACTGAGGTGGGAATGGTGGAGGCAGCGAGATTTGGCATACCCCCTGTGACTGTTTCCTCCTCCGTCGCTTCTCTTGCTGCTTGTTCCCCTCTTGCCCTTCCTCCTCCTCCTCCTCCCCCTCCTTGGCAGAAACTGACAAGTTTTGTAACTGCTCAGGGGTAGGAAACATCATGCTCGTGTGCGGGGTCTGGATGTTCACATCGGGACAGCCATCATGGTTTGGGGCGAAGCTTGCAAGATTGCGATTTTGTTGCATGCATTGAGGTGGCGCCTCCTGCATAGCAATCGGGTTATCGAAGTTCGTGTGAACAGGTATCCCAGAAAATGGAAATGGATCTGTAAGAAGGCCACGAAATATATCGGGGAAATCCCCAAGCGGCTGTTCAAGATTGTTCTCCATCTGGCCCCTCATACTATCGTGAGATTGCTTTCGATGACGGTGGTGACAATAGTCTCCTTCTCCCTCTCCTTCCCATCCCGTCCCTCCTCTGGGGTTCTCAGAGGCCTTTCCGTGGGCCCTGGAACACGCCTTCTCATCTTTGCTTCTTCTCTTTGGAGGAGGAAAGTCTCTCTGTACATCCGATGTATCACCCCCGATCTTGGGCGCCGCCACAATAAGCAATTTCGACAGGACAGTCCAAGATCGCTCTGCTGCAAGATTGTCAGCCCCCATAGCCCTTAACCACGAAACCAGCTTCTTTGAGTCCTTCAACAATCCATCCGCTTGTTGGGGGTTATGCTCCGCCCGCATAGTGATCTCCACGATCAAAACTGTCCCAGCAGAGACCAAATAGTGTAAGAGACACCACCAAGGGGATATGCTTATCAGGCCGACGGGATTCGGCTCATCAGGAAGGAGCGCTATCATCTCACGAGCGGCCCCAATACACGCGGTAGCCGCCGACCGGTTAAACCCACGCGAGCGCTTGGATTCGTTAGGTATCCGATAGTCCAGCCGGCAAAGACAAGGCCGATTAATAATTATGCGGATATACTGATACTGAAATGCCAAGGCCATCCTCTAGCGTAGAGTCAGAAACGCTAGCTTTCATAACCATGGAATACCCGACCCTACCTGTCGACAATAGCTTTGATCGCTGTGCCTTTTGCCAAAGTCCAAGTACAGAGGAAGGTCTGTTCGCCATTTCATAATCCTTAATTCCAGTGCTGATATGATTCCCTGGATGTCACTCCAGCTCCGGCCTTTGGTAGCAGGGCGGTACAATTGAGCGAGCACCTCCGATATTATTTGGTTGAGCTTAGTGTGCTCTATGAAATAAGTGGCGGGGTATTCAGGGATTATGGAAGGAATATGTAGGGGCATCGACGAGCCTTGCCCATTGCCGGTGGCGGCAGTCCCAGAAGACAAGCAGTTGGGAACTGGAGAAAATATATCAAGATTGAAATGCGGTGGGGGAAACCTTGGTGTATTGGACGAGGGGAGAGGGGGGGTCATGACTTGGGAGTACCTCCCAAGTGCCGAACCGAAAGCCCCCTGAGACGGGTACTGCTCCTGCTCAATAGGCCTTGGCATAGGCACACTACAATCCTTGTTCTGGATACAAGCTGGCCGCCCCGTCATTGTGCATAGCAAGTGATCGAGAGAGTAGAGTGTGTACCACATCCGGACCCTCATCTCCTTTTCGACTTCATCAAACTCTGGGACATCATTACGCAGGTTCAAGCCTAGGGTTTGCGCGTAGCGAACAGCCAGACCAACAGCATTCCATGCGCTAGTATGTCCAGATACATTTAGTCAGCCACACCTAAAGAACGAAGAAGAGGAGGAGTATACGACGCGGTGCGGTCATGACGGAAAATAATAAACCACCTGATCCCACAAAATTCCCTAGCAACGCTCGAGTCGGGGGGCATGAGTGGATAGATACCGGTTTGTCTGATTGCTAGCAATCAAATAGATTCCCGCTAGGCTCACAACTTGGACCTGCTGTAGATCCGGAACCTCAAACATACTGCCTTCGTCCAGGCTCAGTACTCGTGCCCGAGCAAAGTACCGGAGGTGCTCCAATTCCGACTCTCCTTTCCATTCAGCATTGGTGAGCTTCCCATAGAGAGCGCCAATGGCAAACATCAAGTTTAGCATGGCCAGCCAGCGCTTTGAACTCTCCGGGGGGAAGAAGTACTGGAAAAAGGCGTCATATTGGGCCATGAAGAGCACCTTCAACACAATCGGAAAAGTTGGGTAAACCGTTTCGAAGAAAGCATTCACTAGCTGGTCGGCCGCATCCTTCGGTGGGAGGTAAAACGGATCGATGTCGCATCCGGCGATCGAGACCGACATATCGTCCAAGTGGTAGGTGGGCGTTTCAAATTGGTAGTCCGCATCATCCTTCGTGGCGTGTGCTATTGACTCCAAAGTCTGTCTTTTAGTTGAAGGTCCAGATGTACCAGAAACCGAGGTTGATCGGGAACCACCTGTTGCGGTAATACCTAATGCAGTTCCTGCACCCCCTAGAGGCAAACCTTCGATAGGGGAACTCTTATAAGCTTCGTTGGCGAGCTGTTGAGTCACTCGTTGAATCCACGCCACTTCGCTATTTTTGCCCATGTAGCCAGTAGGGTAGGCATTATCGGCAGGATTAGGATCCTGCCGTATGTGGTCAACGGAACCAGTAGAGCCAACATCGGCCGTAACAAGGGATTCCCCATCACGATTCTTCACGGGGGATCGATATTGTCCCCTTTCGGGCGACTACGATGCCAAGGAAATATTGTGTGAGCGGGCTATGCAAAGCAAGTATAATGACTTCGTCGGAGCATACACCAACCTCTCGCAAAGCCTTTTGGATCGCCAACCGTCCAGCGCTGTCCACCTGCTCTTTCAGCTGATCCAGCAGAGTCTCATAAATCTCAACCCTTTTTTTCAGCATAATCATCTCACTAGAAAAAAGTCAGTGAAAAATATTCGCATCCAATCAAACAACCCAAACAAGCAATCCAAACTTTTTGGCCCTGTCTCGCTTCCCATCCGCGTAATAACAACTGTACTTGAAGTCTTGACAATGTTTGCAAGTTGGCCTGTGCCAGGGCCTAAGTCAGCTATAATGGCTAGGCTTGAGGCAGATTAAAGATTTCAGTACCGTTCGCCACTGCACTGTTTACATCGGCGTGTTGGAAATTTGCGATAAACCGTCAGCGCCGGGCTCAAAACATTCACAAACGAATGAAATCAAGCATTGATTTGACGGGCCGGGTTGTGGGCAGTGGATCGAACCTTTGTTTTTCGCTGTCGGCAAGGCTCACATGCATGAGATACCCTATGTTTGTCACTCCCACCTCCAGAGCCACTATTGCCCTCTTCCCCCCCAACAACGCTCGACCTTCGGAGCCGAGGAATTGGAACTTTTAAGGGTGGCTGGCTAGTAGGAGATTGACCAGGCTCTTGCGAAGAGGCTGAAGAACTCTTACTCTTCCGAGAGGCACCAGCGAATGAACCGAGTCGAGGATCTGCCATTGTTGAGAGGGACACCAAACGCAAGTGAGTCCAAAGCAAAGGTGAGGGAAAGACAAAATAGTTTTTTTAGGGGCTAAATAAAAAAGGGCAAAAGGAGAAGAAAAAAAGCGAGGAAAAATGGAGGTATGAATATTCAGACAAGAATCTCTACAAGCTTTACCCTGGGCTTCTGATTGGTCCTTTTTCTCGGTAGTTGTTTCTTTTTTTCTCCGAACTTTCTCTCCTTCCCAAAATAAAGCGAAGCGGCTTGCGCAAGCAAGCAGGAGGGGGAAATGGTGAGAGGGAATAAGATGGTCCAGTCCAGACCCAGTATTGGAGCTAGGACGAGCGCAGCAAGAATGACTTTAACACCGCCACCCAAGCCCACAAAACCACCGGCACCTAAGGACACCCCCTGAAGATATAATAATAATATAGGGCAGACAAGGACCCCCTCCGGAGCCGAAGGGGACGGTACCAGAGGCTAGGGGAGAAGGCGAATGCAAGATGGGAGATACGAGGTATGATATGTAGGTGTGCTCGTATCGTCTAATAGAGTAATAGAGAAGGTAGTAACTAGTTGGAGGGGTCAGTGTGAGGTGCGCGCAGAGAGGGGCTTGTAGTCGGTGGTTTACCTGGTGAGAAGCGGTGGCACCTTTAACCAGCTATTCCAGGTTCCCGCCGCGGGAGGCCTGTTTTAAGGTCTCAGTCCCGTCTCGTCTCCCCCAAGATGGATGCGTAGAGCGACAAGCAAGATATTCATGCTCCGTGGGGTCTCAGGAGCCAGAGCGCAAAGCTCCCCGGTTCCGAGGACGTTAGCTCTCGTAAATAAAAGACTGGACGCCGCCGGTGGATATTTGTGATTCCTTTTTTTTAAAAAAAAAATGAAAAAAATATGCAGATGAGGATCCGAGACTTGCTCCCGCTGATCTTGCTTTGATTGTGTGCCCCAGGACTCAAGGCGAGGGTCCATGGAAGGGTTCATTTCTTCAGGCTGGTCCACCGAATCTGCGATATGACGTCAGTGGAGCCCGGTGGGGATCCCCAGCTAGCTGACCAACTTCAATACCGTAACCACGCACCCTCCATCCACCCCTTCTTTTTCTTGCTACCCCCTTCCATACTTTGCTCGACCCGTAGGTTAGGCGTTTTATCTCCTCGAGGGCAGACTATTATGTGCATTGCATGACCGGGTCATATGTCCCCCCATAATGGACGCGGTATCATATCGGGCATGAGAAAAGTAGCGGCACATGAAGCGGCAAGTTCGGATTCCACTAACGACACAAAGTAAATGCGTCGGGAATTCCCAAAAATGCGGGACAGTGCGGAACGGGATGGGGGTTGCTCAAGGCCGGTTTCGAAAATAAAATTGGAGTTGGAAAGAGAAAAAAGCTGAAGCAAAGCTACGGTACTCGTACCCTTCTCATGGAATGGAGGAGGGGAGGAAGCAGGAGGGTCCAAAGGAAAGGAAGAGAAATACAGGGAAAAATTACTCGTACATGTACACTGCAGACAGACAGTAGTAAGGGACATTCGAAGTGAGGCCCCTTAGCGCTCCGTGTTCTTGACAAACAGTTGGGTGCAGAGAGCACAGGCCACTGCCCCCGATTTAACCAATCGGCAGGGCAGCTGCTCTACTCGAGTGCAGTAACATCAAAGACCATCCCCAATACCCACCCCGCGAGCTTGGAATGCCATCCCATGAAACGGATACGGCACCATTCCCCATTGCTTGGCAGTGATAAAATCTGGATACAAGTGAGAAACCTCCAGTTCGGAAAACCTCCCTCTGTTCGAGCACTTGTACCGGCACTGTGGGGGCTCCTGAGTCCTACTTTTACCGCCCGAATTGGGAATCTCGCACATCCACTGACGACCCGGGTTAAACCGCCGACACCCGAGCGAGCGAGCACAGCACGGAAACCACCTTCAAGTTCAAATACCTGCCTGCACGTTCGAGTCCCATACTGTGAAAGAACCAGTCCTCCCGAGCTCACCGTCCAAATCTACGAAGCCACGCTGGCCTCCTTACGGGCCATGACGCGGCATGGTGGGGCTACAGTACAGCACCCGTACTTCAGCCACCACTACCGCACCCATCCTCAATCCTCCCATACTTCAATGTCTCCCCAAAGATCACTAAAAGTCAGGGCTCGTTCACGAGCAACCCCTTGAGAATCTCGTGAAGAGAAATCGCCCTTTCGGGTAAGAATTTCCCTCAGGGGTCTGGACCCTTATTCGAGAGTGGACAGGAATATCGCAAGAAAGCCATAGCTATTGCCAACGCTACGAGTATGATACTCGAGTATCCCTAGTTATTTGCCACACATGTGATCCATAGATTTACCAAGAAATCCTGACAGCCAGTTTTTCCCCATATAAAGTTGAATTGACTCTGGACCGGAAAAATCGGAAGAAAAAAAAAAAAAAAAAAAAGTACAGAGCTAAGTACTATTTGCCACGCTCGCTTTGATAGCTCATGTCATGATAAGCCAATCACAAGCCATGGCGCCCAAGAAAAGCCCCTAGAGCTAGCTCGGGGGCTCGAGAGCTCTGAGGGGGATGAGGGGGCAAATACCGGCACGACACTGTACCTAACCAACGGCGCTCTCCCGTCAACTTCCATGTCTCCACTCCAGTATCAATATATCGCATACCAGTACGGGTACTGCCCTACCGTGCAAGCAGGATAATATTTAGATCGACGAGCCTTCCCGCGTAATCCTGCAACCAAGTGACTCACACTTTCGGCCCATGATTTCGTGAAAAGAGAACGTGATTCCCAAATTGTAGCGTACCGGTGCCGTACCATCACCTCCAGGGTGCCCTGCACCACCAACCAGTGAACCGGCAGCAGGAATCCTTTCTCCCTTTGCCACTTAACACGTCTCGGGAGGATTCAATCCAGCCCCTAATAATAGGACAGTGAGAGCCCAAGTGGGCCAAGTTGGCATCCCTGGACGTGTATGGAGAAAAGAAAATATTAACACACTAGCCCAAACCCGGCTCTTTGCCGGAGTGCCGATATTGCTCATAGTACCTTAATAGGCATGAGCACACCCTATCCGGAGGCCCGGCGGAAGAGAAAACCCCTCCATGGACGCGGAGAAGCCGAGTGCGATAGCCGATAACTGATAGAGAAACTATGTGGGGGATCAAACAGGACGACAGGTTGTGGGGAATGAGGGCGACAAGGTCCCCGCATGGCAATTACCGGGACGGCAGTGGAGTTCGCTGGGGTTTCATTCTGGAGAAAAGCAGGTTATCTGCGTGGCAGAGTCACTCAGCCACGTATAGCAAGGCAAGTGCCGTTGAGTTCTGCCTCGATTGCTTCCCAGATATCTCGACAACTTGAGCACTAGCGCACCACCGGAAACGTGCCGCACAAGTTTGTACGTACTCGGCGTCACTACACGAGAATATCGGTACTTGTACTCGAGTATTGTGCTTAGGTTAGCTCTGCAAGAACCTTCGACTTGATTTCTTTTTTCTCCAGACTCCTTTTTTTTTTCTTTTCCCGCTCTTCTGTGCTCTTTTTCTCAAGTAAACAGGTGCAATCGGACCCGATTACCGTGCTGATACGGGCAGATGATTTGTTCGTGATAAATGGCACCCCTCCGTGTACCCTGCTGTACTTTACTAGTACTCGTACTGTGCCTGTATTCCTGGTGCTGATGATTCTGGTAACACGACTCGTGTCAAAATATGCACTGGCCTTGGCGGGTGCTCTTTATCTGCCATCGAGGGAGGCGGTTTGAGGTGGTTGAGATTCCACTCGAGTACCACCGATGAATGACTGCATGATGGGAAAAAAAAAAGTGCTATCCGGGGCACCTAAGGGCTTGGAATATGATCCCATTAATGCTGTTTAATTCGCTATCCCCCTGTAGTCCAACACCCGCAAACCTCCTTGCACTGCATCCTACACCTATATCAGTCCTGTACCGGTACATGCCGCACAAAAAAAGACTACTCTTGGCATATCATAAACGTTCCTGACATGCGAAGCCAATGTGCAGGTTTTCCATAACTCGAGGAATCACAAGCAAGTGTCGAACCTTGCAGCGAGCCCGCTGCCCTGATTTCTGGTCCCGAAATAAAGTGAATTTTCCATCGCTTTCTTTCCTTTTCTCCATGATGCCCCCTATCCCTCCGGGGAAAAAGAAAAAAAAAGCCTTGAATTCGGTACCAACATCCCTCTGGGTGACAAAAAATTAAACAGGCAACCAAATCGGTCCAATGGAATCTCCCATTCTCAATTCCCCACATTCCGATCGACAATGCAAGCTAGTACGAGTACAAATGCTCAAAGCCATGCTCGAGTCTTCTGTCGGCTGCTACGCCCAACCAGAAATGCAGATATGTCCGAGTTGTGCTCGCATAATACTGGCAGGCTGCCGTACCAGGCACTGGATCTGCAGATCCAACCTCTTTTCCCAAACATATTGACAACAAGCAGCCCGGATTCAAACACATTTTCTAACTTTAGAATTCCGCAAGATCGAGATTGATCCTTTGCACCCGAGTGCAGCACAGTATCATACTGGATCCCCTTTAACGCCTGCTGCAGCCGGTACAAAGCTGTTGTGGGTGTTGACTGTTTTTCAGGCCCCGTTGTTATCGAAAGGGAACCGTAGAGATCCATGGCTGCACTCACATCCAAGTATTCACCAAAACTTGAAGGAAAAGGGAAAAGAAAAACCTGTATTCAACGCGAACCTGTTTCACTCACCATGTCCCAATGCCAATCAAGCATCCAACACGCCACCGGTGCTGGCGCGGACGAGTTGAAGTTGGACACTTTGCAAGTCTGGGAATTGCCACCTTGGCTCTCCAACCTTGAGCCGGCCGCGCGTGTAACTACAACCGGAAAAGTATATCCGGCGCTACCGGGCAATACCCGGCCTGTACTAGCACTGGATATACCGGCGTTACCTTGGAAGGAGCACACTGCACACCGCATTGCCGCTGCCGGTAACCATTTGTCGCTGAAACAAAGGGAAACATCAGTGAACCGCCCCCCTCCCTCCCCCCTCTCAAGACTGCGGGGGGGGGGGCATCCAAACCGACGACTACCCCCCCGGCTAAATATGCATGCAGTAGCGTTGGCAATTATCTCCAAAGCCGGTGCGCACCTCCTGGCCAGGCACGAACGACCATGTTTGTACTCGTACATATAATATCATTGACCCCCGGCTCACGGCGCAAGGCACGGAACACCGGATGCGTATGTACTCGGGTACAGCAGACTACAGTGCATTGCACTCCGTGTCCTTCCCCTCCCACCTAGGTATGTTCGGATACACTAGACAAGATATTTGGTAAACGAAACTCCATACTGCCGGAGATAGCAACGCTACTACTGTACCGGTACTCGAGTACACGGAGGGGAGTA